CCAACAGCAGCTTTCACTGGACAGCGGGGGAGGAGGATTATTTGCATGGGGATTATCCTGAAAAAAACACTGCACGATATCCAGATCGATTCTTTTCAAACAGAGAAATATTTGGAGATAACTACGAATTTCCGGATTCTACAAAATTTTGAATCCCAAATGCTGAAGCTCAATTTTTGGGGTGCTGAAAGCTGCCGTTTTCTTGTTGCTGGCGTACGTTTGATGCGGAAGGGTAGAGACTCGCTTCACAGTGATAATAAATCTGTGCTAATAATTAATCAACACTATCCCGGCTCACTAAAAAAAATTTTTTTTTAGAGAACTATCACTCATCCTTAATAATGATACACACATACACACACAGCCGCACACAACCATACACAGACGGACACACACACAGGCATTGTCAATGAAAGCTAGTATTGAGATTTTGGAAAAAGCTAATTGAATGATATAGGGAAAAAAAGAAAAAAAAATCAACGGTTCAACGTATGTCAACTACCCATTCTGGAATGAAGCATTACACGGCGATTGAATAAACCGCGAGGCACTCAAATGAATTGTGCATATTTCCACTTAATCAATTTTTTTTTTTTTTTTGGATTTTTTTTTGTTTTGAAAATAACAGTAATGAGATAAACCGGGAATATATGCACAAAACATTTTACCGTAGTCAAAGTTCCACAATGGCAAATGCAATATTAAGCTTTGGAAATAATGCAAACTTACAATGTGGAAAGCTATCGAATCCATTTCATGTGACCAATCATCATGCGCACAACCAGGTATATGCGTGTGCACCACCATCACCAGCAGCAGCACACACATCTACGCATATGTGTGTGTGCGTGCGTGTGCATGTGTGTGCGTGTGGAACCCTTCCAGAAGCATCAACATTACCAAAAGCAAACAACAAACATTTGAGAATATAAGCTTAAGTTGAGCAGATCGGAAGAAAATACATGCAGCGCTACAAATAAAAAAAAACACATTCGTGGAAATCGGTCTGCTATCACTGCTAATGTGAAATACTCATAATCATTAAAATTATCTGCGGGATTACGGTACTGATGCTACAGTATCCCGCTCCGGTGCCTACCGTAATCATTGCTACAGTATCCACGTCACCTGTAATTTAAAAAAAAATCAGTGGCGGCAGCCCAATTGGCAACGAATGTGTTTTTTTGCGAGCAGCGGTGCACCAATCAAGTGAGCT